GAAGAGGATCTCAATATCAAGACTAAGTCACCGTGGAATGACGTCCATCCACAAGCATCAATAGAAAGCTCAAAGCCCAGGATAATCCAATCTCAAGTCTCCATGGAAACACAAACCTCTGGTAATACATCAGAGCCACGGAGATAGAAAACGAAGATCGAAAGTCTATAAAGCTACAAATCGCCTAAACTAAGGCTCATACTGTCAGACTCAAGTATGCTATTCTAGTCTACAAGGATTTTGTCAGTTCGAAATGATGTTGGAGATGAAATAAGGCTACAAGACTCGTGAGTCTAAGGCAACACTAGTATATCCTAGACTAAGGATGAACATTCTCAACACAACAAGTAACAACACAACTAATACACAAGATCATGCAACATCACACATAAACCCAAACTAGCAAAGTACTAAGACCGAAACAAATGTCGATCAATCATAAAAGATGGTATCTAAGAAGAGAAATAAGTATAACTAGGTACCCACCCTCAGTTCGCTCTAATCAACATGCATTCACGCATTCAAGATCAATCTAACTAGGAAGAAAGCCATAACCTACCTGTAGGCCGACCACACGCGCTTCAAATCACAAGACCAGAGCTTTTCCTTTTTGAACGACATTTGAACACTGCCACACTATCAAAAATAGGATCATAATGTTAGCACCGTCGTTTAGACGTCAAAAATACATAAAATAGAAATGGACCAATTTTGGAATCAAATGGTAATTGTAGGACTCATACTGAAATTTCCAGAATTGACTCCATCAAGAGGTCCTAAACCATGCCAGAGCTTGTGTTCCAAAATTGAACATAATTCTGGGCTCGGAATAGCAAACAAAATCAACATGCAAGGACTCTATAATTTAACTCAACTAAAGAACAAGAACTGAAGCTTAAAATGGAAATTCACCTTGAATGGATGTTCACCAACACTTTTTGATCACTCCACAATGTAGCATCGATAATTCCGTACGCGTGAGGCTTTGAATCACCCAAATTCAAACTAAAATGAGGGAGAAATCACCAATTGAACTTTGAAATTAATGATGCCATTGCGACAGGTCTTCAAATAATACCATGTCGCTCTCTTCTTCGTGAACGTGGAGGGTCCCCTATGAATGTGGGCCTTGCCAATGTGGTGAATGCCCCACGATCGCAAGTAAGAGAGAATCGAGGTCCCACGATCGCTGTAGGGACCCCGTGAATGCGGCGAGAGCCTCACGATCATCGCCCTCAGGTCGCCTGACAATGCGAATGCGGCCAAGGGCCCGTGAATGTTGCTCCAAATTGCACATGCAAGTATACGCGATTGCGCATGTAACATAGTGGCTCTTAAAAGAACCAGATTATCGAAACTAAAGGACTTGTCAATTAACTATTTTTACTAAATTATACTGGTCTAATTATTTATTTAAGAGTGCCAAAAGAAAGGAATGCAGGATTAAAATAATAAAATTACGGTTGTATCATGTATTGAATCTCATGTATCATATTTTTGGCTTAGAACTAATTTTAGTTATCAAGTTACTGGTGGTTAATTGTATGAGTTGGGTATCAAACCTCTAGTCGCCTACTGGACTTAGATGTCTAACTACATCATTGAGCGGGGATAAACAGGCCTAACTGGCGAGTATTTATATTTCATCATATTTCGTAACCAAGAAAGTTGTTTGTCCGGGCGTCACTCCTGAACACAAATCACCTCAACTAAATGGATCGATCAAGCTCTCTATATTATCTGGTCTATCTAACTCCTCCTCTCTCGATTTTAATATAGACAATATATTTATCTCTAGATGGCCAATCAAGAATACTAAAACAAGAATATAAAAGTAACTTATAATGACAACCAAGAATTAATTCATAAACCTTAAATATTCAACATTTGATTCGTACCTATAGCCCCAAAACAAGGGCGTTTAGCCACTAATCTCTAAGAGAAGAAAGAAGAAGAAGAAAAGAACCCTAAAACGTATTGACTATTTTCTACTTGATGCCCTATAATTGACATCCAATTTATTCTTCTCCCATAATAATTATTTCTATAAACTATTTATAGATATAGAAAATCCTAAATAAAATATTGAGTCCAAAACAAATTGGGAAACCAAAACCAAGCAGAATTTGACTTCCACGTGAACAGTGTTTGTCTTAGACTTTCGCCGCCTTCAATAATTTGAGATGTCTTCCTTGACTGCCACGTGGCAGTTTGGTTACTCCAACTTCAATTATTCCTTAACGGCAATTCATTTAATTAAATATTATTATATTCAATTTAATCCATTAAGCCGTATGTTTGATTTCCTTCTTCAACCTTCCATCTTTAATTTGTTTTAGCTCCAAACTTCTTCAATTTTACACCAATTTACTCCTACAAATAAAATACACTATTTAGCACAATCCATTAAATTCATGCTAAAAAAGGACAAATATAAATAATAAATGTGAGGTAAATAATGATAAAAATATATATTTTTGGCCTCACATGAATGAACACGAAGATTGTTTCAGATCTTCACCATCTGATGTGTATTAGGTGGTTTTGCCAAGTTTGAAATCTTTGATAGGGATTTTTGAATTCGTTTGGAACCGTGCACACTAATGAGATATGCACCCCTACTAAATTCAATATTATAGGCTTAATGAAGTAGTCAAAATTCCTATACAGGGTCATCTCGGCAAAAAGTGAGTCCCACCCCACAACTCTATTTTAAGCTAAAATTCACAATGGGGCTCGAAATTCAGCCGGAAGACCCGAGATCCAAACAAGGGGTTGTTCTAGATCGAATGCAATATTTTGGAGCTAACAATACTGACAGAATTCTCATCCGAAATTGGTTACTCAGAATGTTGACTAAAGTCAAACTTAGGCCTTAACTTGAAAGTTAAAACGCCTAATCACACAAACTCGCGTTGAAAGCCTCGAGAGTTGTGTTGACCATGCTACTAGCCTAAAATGACCCTTCTAAAGCTGATGGAATCGTCAGAATTGGAATCTGAGGTCATCTTCTTGAATTTTTTTTCTCAAAATTGATCTTTCAAGGTTCAAAATCTCCAAAACACCAAAACTCATATAAAAATCAAACGAACAATCAGTTGACCGAATTGTCAGCTCCAACAAGCCATAAATGACTAGGGATCATTATAGAAATTCTCTAAACGATGAACAAGAGACATAAATACATAAATGACCAGGAGGTCATTACAATTTGGTAGTTGGATGGAGTTATATATGTATAAGTAATGTGGGTAATAGTTATGTAGGTATTAGTTATATATGAATAGTTATGCAGAGTTTAGTTATACATGTATTAGTTATGCAATGTTTAATTATACATGTACTAGGTATGCATGGTTTAGTTATATATGTATTAGTTATGTAGGTATTAGTTATGCAGGGTTTAGTTATATATGTATTAGTTATGTAGGTATTAGTTATGCAGGATTTAGTTATGTAGAAATTATAATATATAGTAAGCTAATTTATTTCTTAATTTCAAAGGTAATTAATAATATTTATTATAACCATTAAAATAATCAACTAAATAAATAACACATCTAAATTAAATAGATACCAATAGCTAAAAATAACAAAGTAAATAACAAATAACTAAAAGTAATTAAATACTTATATTCAATATGATTCAATAATAAAGTAATATTTAATTTAAATTAAAATAAATAGCATATAACTAAAAAAAATAAAAATTGTATTAGCAGTGCATTGTAGAGAAACTAAGCAAAGAAATTAATTACAATTAAAGTTATTGGTGTACCCATCACAACCAAATTAGGACTATGACCAGTGCTAAGAGGGAGGATCTCAAAAGCCTTATCAGAATTCTATAGAAAATTACGCAAAGTTTCTTCTATTTATGGGCCTATCCTGAATTTTCTATGTCTCAGAAACTCACAACACAACTAATAATAACTCTAAATCAAGACATAATATACATCTCGAATCTAATCACCACGCAATAAAACCAATTCATTTCCAAATATGAAAAGAAGTTCAAAACTAGTCACCTAACTATAAAACAAAAGAATAATCATAACTTGAAATAAAGAAAAGACAAATGGAGTTACTCTAAGAGTTTTTTAAGAAAAGAGTCTATAGCAATCTCCATATACTATCAATCCACACTCTCTAATTAATGAAATCTTCGCCAGTGTCACATGAGTTCTCTATAAAACATTTAGTGACGAGTGAGAAACTACCTCAGTGAGTAATAATATTTAATCACAAATATTTTAATGAGGGAGAAGTCAGAAAACATGCTAGTATCAATGCCCTTTCAGAAATGATAATAATATTTAATCTTATTTGTCTTATATAAGCAAAATAATTGTGAACATTTTAGAAATAAACTCAGAAGAACACTTTCATAGAAAATCTTATATTTGGGAGGTTTCCAAGGATGAATCATGTAATCGGTGTGACCTTCTTTAAGAAGTAACCAATAATAACAGTGAACTCCTCATAAAGGAGTCAAATATTCATATCGGTAGATTCCTACTCAAGGGATATCAGTAATGGTATGCTAGTTCTACCTTCCCACTAGCAAAGGCTATATCAGTAATCTATAACTACACGGTGTAATAGGTCTAACGAACCAGCCGTTAGCTACGAGATTCGTCAAGGTTTACTCTCATTTATACTTTTATTTGTAAACAGTAGAAGCATTTCAAAATGGTACAAGACATTTAAGTTCTTAACAAATCATAGTATATAAAACTTTAACCAAAAATATATGTCAAAATACTATTTCTTAAGCAAATGTTAAACACTTTAGATAACGTTAATCATATCTCAATTTTTGATAAACATGTGTTATAAAAGTGAGATCATCTCAAGTAACTATTTTCGGTATCTTATCAAGTAAAAGACTTGTCCCATATGCAAATTCAAAACATGCAGTAATACATTCACTTTATAAACCATTATAAACCATGAAAGTTATAAAATGCAAATTGTGGTAAGATTACTACTCACAGTAC